AAATTTAGGGATGCCTTTTGGGGGTCCCTATTGTAAGGATTAGAGACTAAAGGATTTTGGTATCAGGATTAGAGGATTTTGGGCCCTGAACCCTAAACCCTCAACCCTTACTTATAGCAACTGCCCAGGAGTTCGAGCAGCAAAATGCAAAGCTCGCTGAGCTGACGCTGGAGAACGAGCGGTTGAAAGATGCCTGGCAGCTTCCCCTAGTCCCTTTTGCCAAACGCTCCTTTAAGGGGGTTACATGGGGGTACTATAGGTGTTATTAAGGGAGATACTAGGAGTTTAGATAGAGTATAGCTCAAATGAGTATTTCAACAAGAGGCAAGGTTTCTGAATCTTGCTGAGCAAAGGAGGGGGCTACGCTATCGACCCCGCTCGAACCAGAGAGGAATGGTGATTTCCAGGCACGACATCCTGCTGCCTGGCACTCTTCTGAGATGGGTAGCAGCTGATGAAGGCAGCATGTAAACGACACTGTAAAGAATCTCCTTTGATCAATCAATGCTTTGAGTAGCTCTTCCCGGACCTTGCAGGCGGCATTCGTTTAAGTCTCACACCCTACCAAAGACAACAAGAGTGTCAGCGCGCTTTTTCCTCGCCAAAGGTTCGTCCGCATACCGTGGCTGCTTGGCAGGCAAATTTCACGTGATCTCCAACCCGATCTGTATTTGGATCACTTTAATTTTCCGGGATTTCCACGTTCGAGCTTGAGGTGCCCCCTCCAAAGCGGGCAGTCACCGACCAGTCCTTGGAAGACTCCCAGCAGTTGACGCAAGCGTCTCGGCAGAAAGGACCGCTCATGCCAGGGCACAAGGTCAAGGTCTGTCGCAATGGTGCCCGTGGCTCTTGTGCCCCCAGACTAGACTTAGATAGCGAAGCTGCGGGGGTGTAACCGGTGCTTAATGAACCGGAATTCACACTGCACAATGTGCAACATCTGAGGAAAATTTGCGAGACGCTGCGAGGCCACGGATGGTGACTCTCTCCACACACGTGCCCCCACCTCCAGTGCCTCCAGTGCCTTGCCTGAAGAAGAGTAGCTTGCAAAAGCCAATGTCTCGACATGACATGGGGCGTTGGTGTGGAGACCTCCAGCCTGAACGGCTCCAGTAATGGGTGTTATATAGGGATAATGGAAAAACGGAAACTACTATAGTATATTAGGGTTATATAGGGACAATGGAAAAGAACATGCAAACTACTGTATTTTATTGGGGTTACATAGGGATAATGGTTCACCAGCCAAAGTCTTGGTCTGTGACCGAACCACAGAGCTGTACTGATAACCCTATATATACCCTGATATACTACAGTATTTTCTTTTCTTCCATTTTCTTTTCCATTATCCCTATATTACCCTGATATACTACAGTAGTTTCCATCTTCCTTTCCATTATCCCTATGCCCTACAATCCCTATATAAGCCCTACATAATCCGTACAATCCCTATAGTTTCCATTTTCTTTTCCATTGTCCCCCCCCCCTATTAGTAGACTGGAAGCTGCAGCGGCCCCTTGTCCGAGGTGAGGTCACCGATCCGGATGTTTCAAATGCAGACCCCCCTAAGCCCTGAACCCGAGGTCGCCGAACGGGATGTTTTAAAGGCAGACCCGACGAAATCCGGGAGCGCGGGAACGCTCACTTGGGCAGCCAGTGCAGAGGCTGTGTCTTTTCAATCGATGCACCTTCTCTTGATAGGGCCGACCCAATGTGATGACTTCGGTTTCATTCATCTCAGATGTTGGTAGTTAATCTTCTGCAATTACGTTTTTTTGACAATAAACCTGGATCGCTGGCTTGGTTCTTTATTTGGTTGCTGTCTGTCCGTCTGTCTCTCTCTCTCTCTCTCTCTCTCTCTGTCTCTGTGCTCGGGTGCAGGTGAAGGCGATGATGAATTACTACACACAATCCTGGGACACCGGTGTTGATACCCTGGAGCTGCAGGGCTCAAAGTCGAGGGCCTGGGCAACTTGCCTCCACAACAGCACAGACTTCCATTCTGAGCATTAAGTCTGGAAAGCAAAGTACAGATGAGGTAGGAAGATCGCAAGTCTCGAAGTTGGTGAAGGAGGAGAAGATAGGGTTCATGATGCTCGGACAGCTTTTCTGCAACCACAGAAGGTCGCAGCATGACATGCCTGAAGTGAAACAAGTGTTTCCCACGCAAGACTTCTGCTTTAGCTATCGTCAGCTGAGTAGTATTTTATTAGTAGTATTTTATTTAGGGATACTATGGTACCCAATATAGAGTAAGATTATATCCTCCTTTTGTGGTATAGTATTTTATACAAGGAATATCCGCTTCAGCTGAGGATCATGCGGGCTGGAAATAAGACCAAGGAGTTCTCCCAAGGAAAGCCTTGGCCTGCACCTCAGATGGCTGGGCCCAAGACTTCAAGAGCCCGAGAGTCATAGGGTTTGGGGTTTAGGGTTTAGGGTTAATCCCCAGAGCCTAAACAGGTATGTGATCAACCCCGACAGCAACTGGTTCGGCACTGGCTGGCAGTGCATCACCAGTGTGGCTCTCATCTTTGTGGCCTTGGTTACACCTCTCCAGATTGGCTTCTTCCAGGCTGCAACCGGCAAATACAGTGCTAGAAGCCAGCCATGGGACTCGATAGAAAAGCCAAGAGGGGAAACAGCAAGCACAAGTCCTCTAGATAGTTGAGAGGACTGCTCCATGGACAATTCTCTTTGCGTGCCTCTACAGGTGCAGTGGGACGCCTCACTGGTGATCAGTTTGCTAGTGGCTTCCCGTCTGCCAGACATGCGCCAATTCCATGCCATTGCTCAACCACTCTGAATTGTGCCGACTCGCACGTCCTGAGGACGCGGTCTTCCTTTTCGACTCTATTCTCCAGTTCTTCACCTCCTATCGGCGTCTAACTGTTCGCGGGATGCAGTGGGAAGTCCGTCTTCACAAGAGCCTGGGGCTGCGGCTGGAGGCATTTTGAGCGGTTATATTGGGATAGGGGATAAGAACATTGAAACTATAGGGATTGTAGGGATTATATAGGGATGATGAACAAGAAAATGGAAACTACTATAGTATATTAGGGTTTTTTGGGATCTAAAGTTGGCAAAGCTTGCTGGGCAATGTCAAGAGGCAGTTTCAGCTACAGATAACCCAGACCCCTGATTAATAACCCCCCTCCCCTTAATAGGGATTATAATCGGGATCCTAATATTTTGGCCCTTAAAGGAAGGGTTTTGTTAATCGTGGGTCTACCTTACAGGGAAAGGCCCAGATGAATAGTATTTTATTTGGGGATACTATGGTACCCAATATAGAGTACGATTCTATCCTCCTGCTGGGGTATAGTATTTTATATAAGGAATATCATCTTACTAGGTTTAACCACCAAAAAAACACTACTCAGATGAAGAGTGTTTGTGAGTTCGCTCTGCGGTAGCGCAACGGAAGAAGCTGCCAAGCTTGAGGTCTCTGAATAATACTGACCATAATATTAACAATAGTAGTACTAATGATGAGGGTTTCCATTTTCTTGTCCATATTTGTCCATTATCACTATATAACCCCAATACATACCCTATAATCCCTACATATAGCCCAGGTATGTTTAAGTTTTCAGATGCTGTTGATCAGCTATGCCGAGAAGACTGAGGCGTTTAGTCCAATTCCTGGAAGATTCAGAAAGATATTCATGCTGGGCTTTTACCACTGCTAGGTGTACCGGATGCCAGCGGAGTTGAAAAGGGGTTTAGGGTTTAGGGTTGCTTTCGTCTCAAGGCCTCCCCACGAAAGGCCTAAAGATCCAGAGCACCAGATGGCTGACGCAAGCCCTAAACCCTAACCCACAGTCAGTTAGTGCAGCTTAGGATAGCTCTGAATTATCTGAAAACGTGGTTCTTCTTGGATGTGGTGACCCTCGTTCCGTTTGACATCCTGGGAGACTTGTCTGCCTTTGGCTGTGGCGCATATTGAGCTATAGTCTAAACTCCTTAAACGGGGATTGTATAGGGGAAAATTATAGGGTTATTAAGGGGAATATTAGGAGTTTAGACTATAGCTCACACGAACCATCTCATGAAGTCAACTCTTGCCGCAGTGGGTTTTACTAGTAGGTCAGAGGTCTCAGACGAGCCGAGGACTCACGATGGGCCATGAGAGCATCGCTTCCTGGAAGTCCATCCGCGTCCTCCGGGTGCTACGCTTGCTGAAGCTCTTCAGGCTGCTGAAGACCTCCAGGCATCTTCTGTGAGAAGACGCGATGCTTGTGGCCTTTTTTTGCCAGATACTGACAGGTGGTTGTGCTACACGTTTTTAGATGTCGCCTCCTCAAAGTCCGTGCATCAGGATCATGCACCGATTCGAGATTCCATACTCGATCCCATACCAGACACTTGGGCGCATTGGACAGTGCACACAGCCTGTACCAGTGGGTGCTAGTCTAAGAGGCTTGCAGAGTGTTTTTTGAGTGAATGCATGGGGCTGATTATACACTCGGATAGCAAAACGCAGAACATGCATGCATCGACACCGCCAGTGTCGCCATGCATGCTGGTTTCGTGGTCGGCAGCTAGGCACATCGCACTCTTCCGCTTCCTCATCATCCTTTTGCTAATGGTTCACTGGCAGTCATGTGTATGGGGAATGACGTTGCAGCTGGCAGCCGGGTAGCATCATGCAGCATTTTTGTATGATAGGGTTCAGGGGTTTAGGGGATTAGGGGTTTAAGGGGGTTAAAGGGGTTTAGGGTTGTGTGACACCCGCACCTTTTTCATTTTCTTTGCCTGGAAATTGAAGCGGCGTGTAGGTCAAAGTTCGCCTGTAAAGCGTACTATCCTAGAGGTATGAAGATGGGGGAAACAGGATTCATTCAGGGGTGATACAACCCCAGTTTCCATTTCATGTTCCGCTCTCTTTTCCATTTGATTCTCCACTATTGGGGTTATATATGGAGATTGGTCTAAATTCCCTATAATACGGGGTCCTATTTTTGGGTTCCCATTATAATACGGGGCCCTATATAGATCTCCCCCATTTTGGGAACAGTAATTTAGGGAAACTACTATATCCCCATAGTATACCCTTAGCAACGCTACAAGGTCGATGGAGATCAGCCGCAGTGGTTGGATGACATCGAGCCTACTGACTTGCTATTCGGGCAAGACAGAACTTCTGCCCTCACCACCTACATCGCCTCATTCTACTTCTGCTCGTACACAATGACGTCAGTTGGCTATGGCGATTTGGGCCCCAAAAACATTGTGGAAAGGACTGGGTTGCTGTTAAGGAACTTTATTTCAGTTACTTTATTTGGGACACCCTACTTTTTACTATGTACACCCATTATGGCAACTTAAT